CAAAAAAAATATGAACGAAATACCAAACCCTATCCAAAACTGACACCGTCCCACTATTTCACCCATATCTTTTATTTTACAAAAAAAAATATTAATCTGATTCTAATTGAGTTGAAAAGTACACTTTTACGGATTTCCAACAATATATTATTTATCTTATTCCGAATTTTGGATCAAAAGTTATGATAAAAACAAAAATCGCAGAATTGCTGACCCGCGCGACGCGTTTTTTAAATTCTATCTTCTCTTAAAATTCTATCTTCACTCGTTTCTAAGCCTACAAATACCATCATCTTTTCTGATTTTGAGGAGGCGATTTAGAGATCCCGACAACTATATTTTATCCCCATATTTTTCAAAAGGCTTAGACGTAAAGCTTCAACATACAATTTTTATTGTTCTTAGCTTTATTTCTAATCTTATTCAAGTAATTCAAAGACCAAAAAAAGATCCGAAGGTTCTACCTTTTTTACTAAGGCGTGAAGGTATAATCTGGAAGGTGAAATCAATTTTCCTAACTCTTTAATTTAATTCTTTCAATTTAATTTGTTTTCCTTGAAGTTACTAACGTTTTATCCATGATGTAGCAATTTAAAGGAGCGCGTGTGACATGAGTAATTATTTAATTACGTAATCTTATTTTATATTTCTAGTATCATGTTTAGCTTTATTATTATATTTTTGATGATTTGACTAACGATATTATGTTTAAATTGCTTCCAATATTAATTTTATTCTATTGTTTTATGTTGATCACAATATTGCATGTTTAAAGGGAATATGTAATTAAATATAACGACTAATAAGATAGTTTGAACAACCGGTTTAGGTTCCTCTATAATCTTGTTGTTTAATCATGTGGTCACTAATATTTAGAATTATGTGTTGCATTAATATTCAACCAATTTAGCCTAATATTAGTTGGAGCAAATTGAATCTTTGTATTGTGTGCCTTTGAGATCGCAGGAATACTTTTCGCAATAAGAATTGAGTAGAGGCCAATACGGGCTAATGTGACTCCATGACTCACTTCGTACCATCATCCCCTATCCTCCTCTCGTGGTTCCAAACCATATGGAGTTAGTAATCTCATGGATTATGAATGGGGTGTAACCTTCACGGGTCAATCGTTGTTGCCTATCGTTGTCCCTTTATCGTAATTGTCTTAAATGATCCGTGAACGGTTTACAAATTCCTTAAAAACTTGTTGGCGGGTCCCTACTTTCCTTGTCCCTAATCGTATATGTCAATTCCCACTTCCTATGATTGTCAAGCGTATTCACACATGCTTAAGTAGGTGCGCAACGAATGACAACTACACCAGTACTTTGATTTAGGGGTGATGGAAGAGTTTATTGGAGATCCATTCCAGGATTCTCAAGGCTTCTCAAGTTGTATTGTCTGCTTTAAATGTGAGATTCTTTTCTTCAGTTATAAGTCCTATGGTGGTGTGGGTTTGGTTGGGGATTAAAAAGAACTCCTCAACCTCGTGTTTGGTGATGATAGTCAGTCCAACCATTATCATTGTTAATCAAATATTGATGGAGGCTCCTCATCTGGATCAGTTAAGGGAAGAAAGTTCCCAGCTCCTTGAAGATCTAACAAAAGATTTTCGGTATTGAGCTACAAAGGAAAGTAACTCATTGTCAAGGATCCCAGGATGTTCGATGTTTTATTAGGACCTTGGGATGGCCTTAGAGGCAAGTGTGGGTTTTCGCCTTCTATGTCATGGCATTTAGGTTTTGAAGAAGTAGTATTTTACTCGCATCGACTTCCATCGACGTGGTGTACCGTTCTCTCTTATAGGCCCCTATGCTATTCCCATTTTCAATTTCCTCACCTTCTTCACTCTGGCTTGGGTATTTTATGGTGGCAGCAAGTTCATGATTCATAGGTAAGTTTTAAAGGGTTCATCTTGTGGGTTTTAAATCAAATGTTTCCTGCGGCAGCGCTCTCCTTCTCGTATGTTGTGTAACCAAAGCTTGTAATAGGGTTTTAGTTTGTGTCTTGTATTTTAGTTTTATCTTTTAGCTTAGGTTGTAATTTTCTCTTTATTTATGAAGTTCACTTTGTCCAAAAAAAAAAAAAAAAACCATTAATTTTCTTGTAACTGAATTTACTCCACTACCCCTATTAAATAGCAAAAAATGACCAACGTGCCCTTATATAAACAGAAATTGTTAATATAGAGTATAAACTTGTATTTTCTCTAAGTTAATGCCACAATCTTTAGACAGAAGACTGAAGAGCAGGATGTCATTGTTAATTAAGCGTATTCTGTTCAATGTTGCTTGTAGATGTGATGGAGAGATGAAAAAGTGGCTGTTATATTTTCGTTGTTTAGTGGCTATGTTGTAATGTCTTGCTTTTGATAGCAAGTTTCTTGGTTTTTTTAATAAATCCTTTATTAATTGTCAAAAAAAAAAAAAAAAAAGAAAGAAAAGAAAAGAAAAAAGTATTCAATTGATAGAACTGAATGCTCATGCAAAGACTAAATGCATTGGTAAATTTACTACAATATAAGAATGAAATTCTAAGACCCAAATCTAGTTCCCACTAAAATTCCAATAGAAATTGAACTCAATTGCATTCAAATATGCTAATTCTAGTCCACATTCTCATGCTATAATCAACATGACATTAACAATGTAACCATAGTTGATTTATATCCAATTAATGCTAGACAATAAAGCACCACCAATTTAATCACACAATCATTATCAATTTTATCCCAATTCATTTTTAATTAATGATTAGGATTCTCCACACCCCTAGCTACAATTACTCACTAATTTATTTGAAATGAAAAGATCAAAGAACTAATGAGATTTTTTAAAATCGAATTTACCATAATGCAGATGGTACACCCGAGTGTAGATTCCACCAATTAATTAGTTAACTACTTCATTCTACTGTAAAATTTATGTAAAAATTAGTTCAATCAACATCCAATGCATTTATTTATTTTTTTATTTATTTATTTTTTTTGTTTTGACTGAACAAATGCATTTTTTTATGATAACACTACAATATCCAAATGAATATAACAAGGATAATATTACAATATCCAAAGTAGTAGTACTAGCTAAAGAAAAAAGAAAAAATCAAAGTTAAACAAATTTTGAATAGAAATAAGTAGTTGAATACAATATTCTTCGTATCAGTGTGTACGTACGAACTTTTCACAATGTCAAACATTAATAAATAAAATCTTGATCTAAATTACAATTATCATCAATAACACTCCCAAAACTACTGGTATAAAAGATGGGAATGAGTTTACTGCAGAGTTTTGAACAGAGTTTCTTGAGCCTGATACACCTATAAAACACCCACAAATAACACATCAGATATCAATACATCTGAACTTACTTCCCAGTTTATACAGGAACTAACAATACTTGGTACTGAACTCATATAATTCCGGACTAAGAATAAGGTAATAAATCAAATACAGTAATTAATTTTCAAGTATAATTTATTTTGGAAAACGACGAAAAGATTATTAGTAGATAAGACTATCAAAATCATAACGAAAAAAAAAAAAAGGAACATCACAAGTGTAGTGAGAAGGATTTAGAAATACCTTTAAGGCAGGCAATCGGGTTAACACGAAGCCCACATCTTTCGGGTAACATCTCAACCTGAGATATATTAATGCCTAGGAGCTGAGCTTGGAAAGTACCTTGGGTGCTTATCATACTGCACAAGCACTGTTGGTTAGTCTGAATAACTTCTTTCAAAGGATCGCAGCAAGACCTGGGTGGACCACGAGTGCTGTTCAAGTAGTTCATGCAACTATGCAAGGGCTTAGGCTGTTTACACACGACGATCCATATTGAGCTGTCGATGATGGAATATTACTAGCCAAGATTACTAGTACTAGAAAAACCAAAGGGCTAGCTTTATGTTCCATTCTTGATTGATGACTCTTCCGCCTTTGTAAGAAGAAAGCTTGCTTAATACTTCACGAGCATGTGATCTGTTGTGAAAATGCTGTGTCGAGATGAATGTATATATTGAGTGTAGTATGTTTAAGGTTGTTGATCAAACTTTTATCGATTATTTTGAGTAATTTACTGGTTAACAAGATGATAACAGGTAAGGGTTGACATCATTAAAATAGAGGAAAAAATTGTGTTCCGTTTTGGAGGTAAAGCTAAAGACCAAATATTCAAAATGCAGATTTAGCTGCTCAACAACCCCCTGTTTTCATAAGGTTGCTTACCTCATAAGGTGTCTAGTTATTTGATTACTGCTGCTATAAGGAGATTAGGCCACTGAATAAGACATACATATTTTATTTATATTTCTTAATTTGGTACATAAGTAGAAAATGTTGGCACATGATTCAATCCCAAATCTCGGTTTGAACCCCTTTGGAACTTATACTAGCATATATGCTCGTCAACCTGAACTGGCAATCAAACGTTGGTCTTTCTTGTGAAGTCTGAACCATGGTTAAATAAGTACAAGTAAAACAAACAAGACTTACTTGACCCGGATGATCTGATACAGGCCTTAACTGAAAACAGAACTAGATGGTCCCGATTAACATTTAACTCATATTGACCCAACCAGCCAACTTATTACTTGTAACTCAAACTAAACCCGGTCTACTGCCATTTTCCACCTCTACTCATAGGTAATGCATATATATAGAGTACTTGATCCATCCTGAGAGACATTTAAGTAACTCAATTTTTATAGGCTAACAGAATTGTTATGGTAATAATTCGTATTTAGCAAAGTTGTATGTGTACTTGTAATGTCTCTAGTGTGGTACATGCTTATTATAATTTATCAAATTGCCATGTTGGCATTGCGTCCAAAAATGGAGAAACTTACCATTTCTCCAGTCCGTACTGCAAAATAGTGTAGCATTAGAAGATCTACAACAGCACACAACTATAATTGTTGGCTTGTTGCTCATGGCAAAAAAAAAAAAAAAAAAAAAAAAAAAAAAAACCACACACAATTATAGCAGTGAAACCAACGAATACCGAAACAAACACAAATGCAGTATATTAAGATATGTATTCTTGATTGAATAACAGAATACCTACAAAACTTTCTTAAAATTTTTTTTTATTGATCTGTACACAAGCAAAAACCAGAAGATTATGACTACCCTTATACAATTAAAGGGAACTATACTAATGATTCTTTTTTCCTGCTTTCCCCCGCCCAACCTCTCTATTCACTGTTTTTCTTCTTTCCCCCTCCCAACCTCTACTCACTGTTCAGGAAAAATGCATTACTTACAGCAATTTTCTAAATTAAATATAATGCTAGACATAGTATATCATCCCAACTTCAATGAGGCTTATATGCGGTATGTTGAGAGCGACAGAAGGACCACGACAATTCTTCCTCAGAAAGGAATATCCAATATCAATACCAAGCTTTTTCAAGAAAGAAGAGGACCTTCGAGCCTTAACATAGGAATGCCCCATAACATATGCAACCCCAGCCTCCTTTGCCTCAATTAAGTCCAATAGCTCTTCTCTAACATCTGGATCCATTGCAGGACTTTGTGGCAGCTGAAATCTTACATGACGCCTCCTGATCTGCTGAACACTCTCATCATCGTACACAGATCTTAAACTCTGAAGTGTCAGAGACCTGCTACTATGAGTAATTTCATTGATATCCTGATCATCATGCTCGGATACAACTAAGCTTGAGTTTGATTGAACAGTTCGAGTACTTATCACAGCCATCCTACCATCGAAGGAGGAACTGTCTGAGCCAGAAAACTGAGGCTCCACAGCTTCCATCTGAATGAATTCTGCAATGCTTTTGATAAGCAAGTCCTCAAACTCCCCGTCATCTCGAGGAATATCCTTGTATCCATATCGAACTATACAGCGATACATGCGATATGGTCTAGGACATATGCGGCCAATGAGAAAACGCTCTTCTGGAGAAACATATGGGACCGGCACTGACTTTACACAAACAAAAACCAAGACCTTGTGAAAGGCAGGTAGATTAGTCACGAAGTGGGAGAAGATAGCAGGAACTCCCACTGCAAGTTCAGAGTAAATCAAACCAATGCCAGGTACACGTACTATACCAAGACTGGGACCCAGGCCAAGTATCCATTTCAGTGAGACCTTGTTATGAAGGTCAAAATTGTACTTCTTGCGGGTTCCGTAGTGCCAGACATACATCACAAGCACGATTACAAGTGACAACATTATGGGAACCCAACCTCCTTGAGGTACTTTAATAAATGCTGAAGACAAATACACAGCCTCAATAAAACCAAAAAACAGAAGAAACGGAATAGCAAAAGCACCTCTTTGCCACACAAAGGTCAAAACAATTGCCATAAGGCAAGTTGTGATGAGCATAACTGATATGCAAGCAAGACCTGGATACAAGAAATTAGGAGTTAGGATGATACAGCCAAAGTCCAAACGAGTACTAATTACAATGAACCTAGAGAAAGTCAGAAATCTTTTAGTCAACTAATAAAAACTTCCCTCTATGATTATTTCTATACCATCCCATGGTAGGAAATAAGCCAACAGGTATTGATAGCAATTTCGTACAAACTGTAACAAACCCTGTTCGGCCAAATTCACCAGGTACAGGAAAATCATCACTATTATTGGCTAAGAAATGAGAAAGTCTAGTCAAAATTCACTCCAACTGATCAAAGCAGTAGCACTGACCACCCAATCGAAATTGCTTAATATGCAGAGTTGCAGGAAATTTAACAAGATAAAACATTCACTAGATTACCTTTAACACCTAAGCATGTTATCAACAGACAACAAACCAATATGAAGTTTTATACATTTTTGATGAATGGAAATGTTCTCTTAAAAACTTACTACTATGGACATCATAATTTCCAACTCTAACCTAATTTGACAGAAGTAACTCAATTTCAAATATAGATCCATACACAATTGCACATAGCCACATGCATAGAACACTGAAGAACAAAAATAGGAGGCTGAATGAGCTTACCATATGCATTACCAATCAATGTAGTATCACGAAAGCCAATAGTTACAGCAAGAGTCAGGATCATGAGAATCCAGTTTATTTCGGGAATGTATATTTGGCCATATATATGTTTTGATGTATGGACAACTTTCACTCTTGGGAAGCATCCTAGAGAATGGCATTGTTTGACGATGGAGAATGTTGCAGTGATGACAGCCTGACTTCCAACAATTGCGGCAAGAGTTGCAATAACAAACACAGGCCAAAACACAGAATCTGTTTGACAAGACGACCAGGTAATGAATTTCCGAGCAGTAAATTAGCAGTGGTACAGATGTAAAACAAGCCAAGTTAAGTGGCACTAAGAAAGCTTACCAGGAATAGAATCATAGAAACAGTGATCAATATGGGTGGTGTTCATAGACAGATATGCAGCCTGACCCATGTACTGAACCACAAGGCAAGGATATATGACACATGCGAAAACGAGCTGCAAAATAGCAATACTGGATTAGGTCACTTACATGTAAAGTAGCAATACGGAAATGTTGAACAGATGCAGAAAAAATGTGGTTCCACCCAGATCACTAAATGTCAATAGCTCAATCCCATACATAAGACAATGGTATATTCTGTCAACTATGCTTTGGTTCTTAGGTATCCAGATTGGGCAACTGTGTGGGGTCGTGAAACCTGGTCTTAAACCGAAATGGATGCAACTTCTAGACAACATGACCTACAATAACATACCTTTATGGAGAAGGCTGTAAAGTGACCAATATCTGCAAACATAGCTTCTGTACCTGCAACAACCCAATAAAAGCATAGCAGTCATTGAAAATAGACCCCAAAAAATCAAACATACACAACAAATTACTTTAAATTCCCTTTCTTTTCTCCATTTTCCACTTGTTTCCAGGTGCTCATTGAAGGAACGTTAGCCTAAAAAAAAAAAAAACAGAACGTAACAAAACTGAGAACAGAAGAAGCATCAACAAAATATGCCAATATTCCTTCGGTCCAAGAAAGGCCATTTAATTGTGTAGCTATAGCCCTATACGAATCTATTACAGCTTGGAGTAGTATTAACGGTTGTCAGACCCTCATTTATTTTAGAGAAATGCAAGGACAGCTTTAAACAAGTCAATCAATCAATCAATCAAAGCCTTAATCCCATAAGTGGGGTCGGCTACATGAACCAAAAGTAATTATTCCGTATAATCATCCACAGCTTTTACACAAGTAAAGCTCGAAAATCTCCCCAAAATCTCCATCTAAGATAGAATGCAGAAACAGTCGTGCTTCTGGGAAAATGATGCGCTGACATCAACATTTAGGCATCTACAAACTTAATGCTAGCTGTTAAGAGATTATACTCCTCTCTTCCCTTTTTCATTATTTAAGAGGAGGTTAAGCATTAGAGCAGGAAACACGCAAAGCATTCTCATAAACCCTTACATGGAGCCAAAAATACAATAACATATACTTCCTCTGTTCCACAAATATTGCAACAAGGATGAAATTACACATCCCAAAATACATTTTATATGCTAAATATTTATAATTATATAAGAGTAAAAATTATAAAAAGTTGATATTGTGAAAGTATTTTACGAAACGAATCTAACAAGCCCCCAAATGACTATATTTTACGTTACGTATAAATCATAATATGTGGTCAAACAAACGTGATGAATAGTGTAAAAGTCCACTTGTTGCAATATTACTAGAACGGAGGAAATAAAAAAAAAATTAAAAAAAAATAAAAATAAAAAAAAAGGGTAAAAGGAGAAGGAAAATAAAACAGATGATTTGAGTTCTATACATAAACAAACATAACAGCAAAAAGAAAATTTTACCGCACCACATACCTGTTGTGCAAAGAAGTATTCCTCCAAGAGAAATCCAGCCATCTTTTCCAGTTTCCTTGAAGTACTTGACGATATAATGTGGAGAAAATGCATGAACTATTTTTGGGTTCCAATATATTGTGTTGTACAAACCAATTCCGAATATTGAGAACAGCCAAATTAAGACAATTGGAGCAAACAAAAATGCCACCTTGTGGGTACCACAGTGCTGAAGAGCAAACAGGCCCACCAAAATTACAGAGGCAAGCAACATAAGTACACCTACAACAACAGATGTTGAAATTTAGGATGAAATATACTACACAAAATTTTAAATCAGCCAAAAAGATCAAGCATATGTTTTTTTGGATACTCCAACATGAGCTGCATAACTAAGAATACAGTAATGAACAAATTAAACAAGACCAGCATTTACAAAAGAACAGAGGTCAGTACAGTGACTAACCCTCGCTTAGTTTTGTTTCAGCAACTTGAAGCCCTGAAACTGATGATAAAACTGCAAAGAAAGAAAAGAAGATGATTTATAGTACTCCAAATTTGCATTAATATTCAACATATTAGCTACTTGACTTATTCTTTATCTTTCATAGCTTCAGAGTTAGGACATAGTACATTAGTAAAAGACTACAAATAAAACTGTAAAGTCCATAACATAAATAACCGTTCAGTATGGATAACATGCTATACTATTATGAAATCAGGGTCAGGAAGATAAAGGTTACACAACTAACAGAGAGACTGCTTTCAAGACTCCATGACTTCATATCAGAATAGGAGAACTGTATGATTGTGCGAAGGAGATAAAGTAATAATAGAAGCTTATTCAATTTTGAAAAACAATATTGCAATAGAGCATACAAAATACACAAAGCTTGCTCAATTTTCAATATGTTATGCAAAATAATAACTATATAAATGAACAAATCTAACTAAGATATCTCAAATAATTATTGCAACGAGAAATGAATTAGCATTTTATACTGTAATGGGGGGTCAAATTTAAATATAAAAATAAATAAATAAAACAATGGCCTACCTAGATGCTTATAATAAGTATCTGTTAATTAGCCCTCATATAAAAGCTTCAGTTTTATTATCCAAAACATACATATTCAATATTTTAGCAAGCAGATAGACAAATGAATTTAAAACAGCTCACAAATATTTCAATGCACCTGAAATAGCAGGTGTCAAAACACCATCTCCAATAACCATGCCCGCGCCAATCAACACAAAAACTAGTAAGGCTGTGCGCAGATTTTTGTGTTTATCAAGGAATCTCTTTAGCGGAGAGCTGGCAGTAACTAGTGTTGAATGGCCATATTTATAAGTCGACAGCTCCTCATCTGCAGCCTGTTGATTTGGAAGCAAGCTGAATTTTGCATGTCTGCAAAGGAGGGAGTATAGAGCGAATGTTCCACCTATAATAACATAAAGTAAAGTCTAGAAAATGGAATCGAGTAAAACAAATCCAGTAAAGCCATACAAAGAGAAGCCAACCTTCCCCACTATCATCTGCACTTAATACGAAGAAGACATATTTGAGCAATGGAATCAGCGTTAGTGTCCAGAACACTAAGGAAAATGCACCAAATACAGAATCCTCGCTGATAGGCATCCTCCTCCCTTTGAAAGTGCTTGTATAAACATAGAGTGGTGATGTACTCAAATCCCCATAAACAACACCAACACTCTGATAAGCTAATAGCAGGGTCCTGGACAAGTTTACCCAAGATAACTGCACGGCGATGTATAATTTAATCAGACATGTTATTATAATAAGATACTCTCTATACAAGAATTATAATCTTCTACATTTCGCAAAGTCCATAAATAATAAACTTTCATTTATGAGCTACAAATGTCAAAATACAAAGAACCACTTATTGAAGAACTACAAACATTTTCAAGAGGCAAAATGAAACATAATATCAGAAGGCACTCTTAATCTATATAGGGGAAAATAGTCAATGGATAAATGGATTTCGTCGGGGAAAAACGATGCTGCAAAATTAGTAGAATCAATCTCAGAGAGTTGTATCTTTTGATTCAGTAACATCAACAGTCACTGCATTAGTCAATACTCTTCAAGATTTTATTCAACTTTTTAATTTCGTCAAAGTACTGTGATAAAGCCAGGTTTCAGGTCACAGACATTTGTTCAAAATCCAGTCTTTTTATGATGGGTCGAATCGATTTTTGCCAGGTCATTGTCGATGAAATCCATTTATGTAAATTCAACAATTCAACTCAATAATTCAACAATCAAACCCATTCAATCCGATCAGATAAACTTTGTTATCAAGTCAAATCCCTGATTGAAACCCCAGAAAAATAATTCTTCAAATGCCATAAAAACCAAAATGATTCAAAATTCAATCTCCCCCATTTACTCTAATCATAGTAGATTACTCCAACAAAACATAGAATTCAAAATTATATAATTCATACAAAAAATCTCATCCATTCATAATTCAACAGAAACAATCCAAAATCATTTTACAGATCAAATTACATTCTACAAATTAGAATAAATTAAAAAAAAAAAAAAAAAAAAAAAAAAAAAAAAAAAAGGAAGAAGAAGAAGAACCTTGGAAGATGTTCTAGATGGAGAAATCCCAGGTTCCGACTCCATTGTAACCAATCTGAACACTTTCTCTCTCCTCTCTTTCTCTCTCTCTCTCTACCTTAAGTTGAAGTTAATTACAGTATAGCAAAGTGTAATAAAACCGAAGGAAATAATGAATTAAAAGTGCTCACTATTTATCGAAATTAATTAATTATTTGATTATATTATTATGTTGTTTTTATTTTAAGGTTTTATGATTAAATTATAATTTTAGTTTACATTTTAAAAATTAGGATCCTATTGGGCGGAAGAGTGGGAGTATATTGGCCACAATTGATGACGTCAGCAAAAGGTAGTATACATTTAAACAACACGAGTCTTACGCGTGGTGGCGTGTCATGGAATCCGACGTCGTGTATGTTTGTTATGTGTGGGTCCCACTTTAAGTGACGATCTTGGTTTATTGCTGAACTTTTCTTCTACTACAAAAATAAGTGAGTTTTCAATTTCATGAAAAGGTTGTTTAAGAATAATTGAAAAGCATTATTCGTTTTTTTTTTATTGTAAGAATTTTTTATTTAAAGAGGAAAATTTTGACTTTACATATTCATAAATTTATGTAGAGTTAAAGTATAATACAAGGACTTCACAATTACAATTTTTCACCTTTAAGGACCTTTCACTTTTTTTTTCACCTTTAAGGACTTAACATTTGATTTCCGGTGATAATTAACATATGTTAACTCAAGTTGAGTTAAACATGAGTTTAACAAACATAAAGGCTGACGTGGCATAGGAAAGCGTGCAAATTGTAAAGAAAATACCCCATATTCATTTCTACCTCCCCTGTTTGAGAGATTCACCGTTGTTTGAAGAAAAACCATGGCTCCAACATTTTCTCTATCCTCCATTAATGGCGTTGTCAATTTCTCCTCCGGCACCGTTCAGTTTATCGGCGATTATCTCATATTCAATTCGATCTCAATTTCCATAATTGTGTCACCTTCTACTTCAAATCCTCATTTCACCATTGTTTGAAGAATATTCTCAATTCTCCTTCATTGTCGTTACCGTTGTAGCACCTTCTAGTGGTATAATTATTTCACCTTCTACCATCAATTGGCACCAATTCTAGTGGTATAATTTCCCTTTTTTCCCCCAATTTCAATTGATTTTTTCCTAAAATCTTGATTTAGGGTTTGTCTTGTCTTAATTAAGTGTTATATATGTGGGTATATCTAGGGAATTAAGATTATCCATCACATCAATTCATGTTTGTTCACAACTTCTTCATCATCTGTTAGTATGAGCAGCCCCTTGAAAGCCTCGTATGCTTGCTTCTTTAGCACTATGACTTGGATAATTACTTCAGCTACCAATGTTGCTTTGTCAATCTGAAGGGTCATATGTTGATGCAAAATTAACAGGCATTCCATTGTTTGGTGATTTGCATCTTATTCTTAATTATGCATTTCCATCATACATGGAGAAATTCATCCTCTATTTTCTGCTTTTTGAAAATGCATTTATATATATATATATATATATATATATATATATATATATATATATATATATATATATATATATATATATTATGCTTTGAAGGACTTAACATTTAATAATGAAGGGATTCACATTTTGGCCGGAGCTCAGGTGAGTTAAGTGGCCGGAATATTAACCCCAGGTCCTTAAAGGTGAAAAAAAAGTGGAAGGTCTTTAAAGGTAAAAATTATAAAAGTGAAATCCTTATATTATAACTCAATTATGTATTAGAAAAGTTATTTATGTTAGATTTTGTAAAATTATTCTCGACATGTAATTTCAATATATTTACTTAAATTTTATAAATTATTAGATATAATAAACTCAGGAAGTCGATTACAGAGAAGATGGTTATACCATACAGAAAGTGATTATATCCAATTAAAGTTGATTATACCAAATTACCTGAGGTTTGATTAATAGGTTTAATACCAAACAATGTTTTGGGGAATCTTTCTTTGCTTAATCGATTCACGGGTTCTGTTTGGGTCCAATTTAGTCCAATTGGGCCTAGGCATTAAATGATCCAATTAAAAGCCCAAGATCAAGGTTCAACTCTCCAATTGTGCTAAAGTCAAAGGTCAGCCCTCAAAGCAAGCCAATTGGGCTAAGGCCCAACCTCTCCATGTATGAAGAGGTATAAAAGCCATCAATATTCATACATTCATATTGATTCACAGATTCACATATTCTCATAGATTCCCATACATTCTCATATATTCAAGCAAAGCCTCAAGCAACTAATTCTCTTGCATAGTGTTCTCTTTCTACACATTGTACTGACTTTAGCATCGGAGGGGCCTTCCTCGGCAACACCCCCGAGGCTAGTTTACGTGTGTTTACTGTGCAGGAAACCTTCGGCCCAGCATAACTTGGACCGAATCCAGTCTTCTCCGTTTCAGCGGACCTTCGGCAAGGTCCCATTGTTTTCACCCGAAACAATTTGGCGCCGTCTGTGGGGAGGACTTTCAAAAATCTTTAAGCCAAATTTCTAACCAAGATCATCTTGCAATTATCTTAGTAGCAATGGCTAAGAACTGCAAGAGCAAAAGCCTCCGTCAAGGAGCGGGCGAAAAGCCTAAAACCCCTACACCATCACCCTCGCCGGACCGGAACTCTCCCAAGGGTGCCAGCTCGGGGGGAGGATCATACAAGGAGGATTCCCTTTCTCCCGTAATTCATGACTCTCATTATAGGCCGAGTCACTCTCGGTCTATCAGGGGTGAGTCCGATCATAGGACACGTTCAGTGCCCCAAAGCCAACCATCGGCTGTGCGCCCTCATTCCCATACTCGGCCGAGGACCCCTTTGACGGGGCCCAGCTCGGAAGAGGTGGCAAGAGCGCTGGCAGTGCTCATGGAGGCGATGAGGGCACAAAATATGCCACCACCTCGTGATCGAACTCCTCCGCATACCCGGCATCAGCGGAGGAAGTTAGACCATGATGGTGGGAAGCTTCCTTCCTTCCGGGAACTGGAAGAGTGGGAAGAGGATTCCTGGAAAAATGAAAAAGAGAGGAAAAAGAAACCTCAATTTTTAAAAGGATCCTCATCCTCAAGACCAGAAGCGCATAAGAGCAACAGCTCAACTTCTCGCCCAGAATCTACTCACCGAGAACCTGAGACTGTTCGCCGAAGCGTCCTTAACCGACTCGGCGACAAGGAACCGAGCGTGCGCAGTCGCCTCTCGTTCCCTACAGCCGAGGCCCAGACTTCCCAGCCAGGGACGAAAACCACTCCTACCTCTCTAAGAGGGCGGAGCGCGGTCCCTTCGGCCAGGAACAAGGGCAAGGCCGTTATGCTACCCGCCAGTTCACCATTCGAGCAATGGATACTGGAAGAGCGCGTACCCACGGTTAAAATACCGTCGCACATCACATATGACGGGACCTCGGATCCGAAGGATCACGTGGCCTCGTATGAGACTCATATGCATCTTTGCCCCAGATCCGAGGCGACTTGGTGCAAATATTTCCCAACCACTCTCAAGGGGGTCGCGCAAGCGTGGATCTCCAAGGGAGTAAGGCAAGGCTCCATAACAGGGTGGGATGATATGTCCTCCAAGTTCAGGAGCAAGTTTTCCACGGCAAACCGCCGAGAGAAGACTACTGTAGAGCTCATGAGTCTACAACAGGGGGAAACCGAAAGCCTCCGAGACTATTTGACCCGTTTCAGTAACGAGTCATCCAGCGTCTCTCAGCTGGACCAGGGGCTAGCCGTTTTTGCAATGCAGAATGGCCTTCAGCCCGGAAAGTTCCTAGACTTCATGGTCATGCATACCCCGCAGACCTTGGAGGAAGCTCTGAATGCCTCGGATAAGTTCATCCGAGCCGAAGAATGGAACAAAGCGAAAACCCAACCTCAATTTGGGGGAGGGAAACAAAGGCAAATACCCTTGTCTGAAGGCCAAGGCCATAAGGCAAAGGGAAAGTCAAAGGCCCCGGAGCAATCTTTGTCCAGCGACCCAAAGAAGGAAAGATCTGCCTCATACACAGGCAGATACGAGTCCTACACTCCGCTCTCTCTTCCACGCGCCAAAATTTACAGCGTGACGAAGGAGGAGCAGAGTTACCGAAAGCCGAGACCACTCCCAGAGTGGTATCAGCGAAAAAATAAAAATCAGTGGTGCGAGTTCCACGAGTCTTCGGGACACAACACTGAGGAGTGTATCCAACTGAAGGACCAGATAGAGGACATGGTCCGGAAGGGATACTTGAAAAAATATATCGCGAATCACCGCGAGAAAAAAGAATCCGAGAAGTCAGCAAAGGACTCTCGGCAAGACCTCGACTTCCCCCGGAAAAACAGTAAAAAGCCGGAGGGGAAATTCCCTCCGATCAATGTTATCTCGGGAGGAATATACTCTCGGAGGGAGCACAAGCGACACCTTAGAGCTTTGACTCACCAGGTGAACAACGCTGACATTCAATCTCCCCAGTCGCCGGTGCCGAACATGACGTTCACAGCCGCCGACTGCCGGGGGATTACGTTCCCTCACGAGGATCCGTTGGTGATCATCGCCACGGTGGCCAACCACGACGTCAGTAAGGTCCTTGTTGACGGTGGCAGCGGAGCAAACATTCTGTTCCGAAAGGCCTACAATCAAATCAAGTTGAAGCCCAAGCATCTTACGCCGGTACCCTACCCGGTATCCGGGTTCAACGGGGCTTCAACTTATCCAGATGGGAAGGTGACACTTCCTGTCACCATCGGCTGCGATGAGGCAGCCAGGAACGTCATGATTGAATTTTTGGTAATTGACGCTCCTTCAGTGTACAACGTGATTTTGGGGAGACCCATAATTCATGAGATCCAAGGGGTCGTCTCAACTTATCATCAGCTGATGATTTACGTCTCAGACGCCGGCTTCCCCGAAAGGATACAGGGCAACCAAAAGGACGCCCGAAGGTGCAACTACCTCAAACCATCCAATAGTCGCCCAGATGACAAGGATGAGGAGGAGAAAGAAAAAGAAAGAGAGCCGAGCACAAAAAAGCCGAAAGGCCTAAGTGCTTCGGCCCAAGGATCTGTACCCAGAGGTAAAGGGCCCGAAAGGGAAAAGGCTAGCTCTTCAGCTGAGCCGCAAGACTCAGAGAGCCAGCCGAAGAACAAAAAGACTGGGACACCTGCCGACATTGGCAGCAGGCCAGAT